GGGGGTTGTATTGTGACAGGCTCTTTCCTGGAGCTAGATGAACTGACCTGGCTCAAAGGCCAAAGTTTTGTGTGGTCCTCCGTCCCCTGGCCTCTCCTGTGCTTTCCTGGTGTCTGTCAGGATGAGGAGTGAAGTGGTGCAGGGGGGTTCCTAGCACTTCTCAGAGCTGGCTCTGCAGAGCCGGTCGGACCTGACTTTCTCCCACCTTCGGGGTCCCTTTCTGAACCCCTTTGCTTGCCAGAGTTGTGCAGGGCCAGCCAGTGCCTGCCTGATGCATGGCACTCCCTCCCCCAGCTATCCCTGGTCTTTATTGGCATAGAGAGGATGCTCATTAAGTTTGTAGATGATACCAAGCTGGGAGGGGTTGCAACTGCTTTGGCGGATGGGGTCAACATTCAAAATGATCAAGACAAACTGGAGAAATGGTCTGAGGTCAATAGGATGAAGTTTAATAAGAAGGACAAATGCAAAGTGCTCCACTTAGAAAGGAACAATCCGTGTCACACATACAGCATGGGAAGCGACTCTCTAGGAAGGAGTCTGGCAGAAAGGGATTTAGGGGTCACAGCAGACCACAAGCTAAATAGGAGTCAACAGTAGGACACTGTGGCAAAACAAGCAAACATGATTCTGGGCTGCATTAACAGGAGTGTTGTGAGCAAGACACGAGAAGTCATTCTTCTGCTCTACTCTGCGCTGGTTAGGCCTCAGTTGGAGTTTTGTGTCCAGTTCTGGGCACCACATTTCAAGAAAGGTGTGGAAAAATTGGAGAGGGTCCAGAGAAGAGCAACAAGAATGATTAAAGGTCTAGAAAACATGAGCTGTGAGGGAAAACTGAAAGAATTGGGCTTGTTTAGTTTAGAAAAGAGAAGACTGAGAGGGGACAGGATAGCGGTTTTCAAGTGCCTAAAAGAGTGTTACAAGGAGCAGGGAGAAAAATTATTCTTAACCTCTGAGGACAGGACAAGAAGCAATGGGCTTTAATTGCAGCAAGGGAGGTTAAGGTTGGACATTAAGAGAACTTCCTACCTGTTATGGCGGTTAAACACTGGAATAAATTGTTTAGGGAGGTTGTGGAATCTCCATCAGTGAAGATATTTAAGAGCAGGTTGGACAGACACCTGTCAGGTCTGATCTGATGGTGCTTGGTCCTGCTGTGAGGGCAGGGGACTGGACTTGATGACCGCTCAAGGTCCCTTCTAGTTCTAATATTCTATGGATCTATGATTCAGCTACCTCTCCAAAACAGCACTCTCCAATCCCTGGGCCTTTTGCCTTACTCTCTCATCCAAGGACCCCTCTGCTCTTTCCAAGTGGTTAATAAGGCAGATGGCTGCTGTGGCCATTTTGAGGGAGGGAAAATGGAGAGGTGGGAAGCAATTTGCCCAGGGTCGGACAAGAAGACTGGGAATTAGAACTTGAGCACACTTGAGACCTGACCGGTGCCGAACCAGAGAGTTTGCCGGACCACGGGAGGTCAGTATTGTCTAGCAGCATCACCAAAACTCCTACTGCTTCCTGGGCTCTTAGAAGACATTTAGGCCTAAATAACACACAACACTGAGAGCCAGGACTGGTGGCTGTAAACAAACTTTGAGACCACAGGGAAATTGGCCACACCTATGATAAGTGGGCAGCTGGCTAACTAAAATCATGCCGGATCACGGATGTTGCCAGACCAGAGAGTTCCAGATTAGAGAGGTTCAACTCGTATCTTGTGAGTATCTCCAATTATTGCTTCAAATATCTCCTCTCGGTTATTTGTCCAGAGATGTAGTATTAAACAGTTGGGGCATTAAACCCCGTACCACTGTGAAATCCAGTATTTTTATATTTTTAAGAACAAGAATGCAACTGTTCTATACAATAGTCTAGTTTCTTGCTCCCTTTCCTTTGCTAGTCCAAATGGCACCCTGCAAACTGCAGCGAGGACATTTCGGGCTGACTGCCTCTAATGTTCTCTTTTAAAAAACATTAGCTAGCTGAGACAGTTCACCTCAAGAATTATGAGAACGTTAAACAACGAAGTAAACGCCCCAAAATGAGACCCTTTAATGAGAAACGCCGTTAGCAGTAAACTTGTTAAACTGATCCTGCTAATTAAAAAGCAACTGTACATACCATTAATTTGATCCTGGGACAGAAATTTTGCCTGGAGCAGAAAAAGGAAGGAGGGGAGGAAAATCATTCAGTTTCGGAATGTCGCATGATAAGGCACATTTCAAATGGATCAAAAAATGTTTAGCACTCACCATTTGCTTAGGAAATTCCCCCCCTTTGTTTTATACCTGCTGGTCAGAGAGTCAGCCGCTGCGTTCTCCGACTTACTTTGCTATTTGATTAAGGGCTAAAGTCCGCCAATCCTGGGTGGAGAGTGGTAGGAACTGTAATAAATACCCTGCTGCCATGGATACAAAACCTGACCCATGCTGTGGGTTGGATTGCAACCACTAGCAACAGCTGTTAATCAGAAAGGCACACACATTAGTTCTAATACACCGGTTTCTCCTGCAACAGGCTGAAAATGTCAGAATTCCTGCAGGAGTGTTTGCACAAGGGTTATAAAGGAGCAGGAAACGGGGGCTTTTCCTTTGTCTGATTTGAGGTTGCCTTCACTGGTAGGTCAGACTCAATAATGAAACGACTCTGGGTTGAGTATAAAGCTTTGGTAATCCCAAATGCATTGCAATGCACCTCATGCTGTGCCTAAATACCGGTGCTTAGAGACAAGCCCACAGAATGACTAATACCAAAAGAGGCTGTTTAAGAAGGAACAGCCGGGGCTAGATATTTATATGTAATAATTCACTCTTGTTGGGGGCATGCTGCTGGGCAGAGAAGCAGCTAATTTTTGAATTGTGCACCTCTCTGAGCCAATCACAATGGGTTTTGCTTTGTAAAAGATGGTGATGTTTGTCCCGCGTGGCCAGTGTTCAAAAGGTGACTAGATTTGGTTGGCTGGTTGGTTGGTTTTCAGGTGTCTAATGGAGGGCTGAAAGATGGGCGTGGTTTTGCTTTTTTAAATGTTGCAAAGGCAGCAGGTCTTATCTGCCCCAAATGCCCCATGGAAGCCTGGAGAGTTAATAGCTTCAACATCAGAGAAAGGGGAAGTGATTTTTGCGCCTGTTGAAAACTGTCCGTCTCTGATATTGATCTAATTAAACCACATGGAGCAAAACTCCTTCAGGGTTAAAAGTCCCCTTCCCAGCTCTCTGCTTAAGAAAATGCGTCCTCCATCCCAGACGTCTTCTTCAGAGTAGAGACATTGTCATGTGGCTGATATTTGAGGGGTGTGTGTGTGTTAAAATAAGGGGCCGTGTCAGAAAAAATATTGAAAGGGAGGGAGGCAGATCTATGGATCACTATACGTTGCAAAGAAACCCACATGGCCTCAGGTTTGGCTGAATAAGAGGAATTACTTCCGGCCAAAATGTTCACATTTTTGGTTTTTTCCCCCCCAACTTTTTGATGAAAACATGCATTTCTTTTCAAAGGGGATGGAATCAAAATGCATTATGTCCCCCCACAATAAAAAGTGTGAAAGAAGGGAAATTTCCACCAGTAGTTAAAATGCTGAGTTTTGAACTGATCTGTGGGAAAATTGTGGTTGGATACAGGAACTGAGATGCTTTCTATTCAAAAAACCATTTTTCGTTGGAAAAAACCTCCCCCCTCCCCCGTGTCCTCCCAAGTCCTCCTTACACTTAAGTGATAAGGAATTGAAGACCTTGAATGCGGCTGGTCTTTATCCATCCCACTGAGATTTTCAAAGCAGTGTGAAGGAGCTCTGGAAGCCAGGCGTTTCTGGCATGTGAGGTTACATGCAGCATTGTGTGCAGGGCATAAAAATGCGCTCCTCGTGAACATTATAGGACTCTCTGGGCAGGGGGGTGTCCTCTCACCTGTCTGTATGAGCACGAGGAAGCTGTAGGTGGTTTGTGAAGAAAAACCTGACGATTGCACACTGAACAAGTAGGGATGAGGGCCCCCCCCCCCAAACCGTGTCTGTGCTTCAATCGCAACTCAGTCGGGGGCCTAGGAACAAAATATTTGCTTCGTCACCATGTTTCCTATCAGTGGTGAAGAAGGGATCTAGTTAGGCAACGGGCCACTTCCTATTGCTGCAAATTGGTCCCCAGGCGTGGCTGTACAATGCAGATCGGCCCTTCTATTCTTTTAGGCCAAAGATCTTAGGATCATAAAAAGGCTGGAAGAGAAAAGGTCTCTTGTCCGGTCCCCAGAACTGAGACAGATCTAAATATCATCCGAGACACATCCCTCACAGGTGTTTGCCCTCACCTGCTCTTAAAAAGCTCCAATGGTGGCAACTCCACACCCTCTCTAGGTAATTTGTTCCAGTGTTACCCACCCTGATGGATTTCATAATACTCAGCCTAAACCACCCTTGCTGCTGTTTAAGCCCATTGCTTCTTATCCTAGCCTCAGAGGTTGACAAGAACACGTTTTCTTCCTCCTCTTTGGAACCATCTTTACGTACCTGAAAGCTGCTTTCACATCCGCTCAGTTTTCTCTTCTTCAGACTAAACCAACCTATTTTTTTTCAGACTTTCCTCTTGTATCATGTTTTCTAGACCTTTCATCATTTTTCTTGCTCTTCTCTGGACTGTCTACACTTTTCCCAAGGTGTGGTACCTAGAACCGGACAGGTCTTTTCAGTATTGAGCGGAAGAATTACTCCTCGTGTCTGGCTCACAACACGCCTGCCCGACGTTCACTTTTTTGGCAACAGTGGACTTGGGTTTCATTTGTGATCCACTGTGACCCCCAAATTTTCTTCAGGGCTTCTTCCTAGGCAGTCATTTCCATGGAGTATTTGTGCAATGGAGTATTCCTCCCTCTGCGGAGTACTTTGCCTCCGTCCTTTTGGAGTGTCAACCAAATTATTCCAGACCATTTCTCCGGTTTGTTGAGACCACTTTTAATTTGAATCCTGTTGTGCAAAGTGCTTGTAAGTTCTCCCAGAGCGGTAGCGTCTGTAAACTTTGTACTCTCTATGCCACTATCTATTTATGATACTGGATAGAACCAGACCTAGGACTGACCCCTACTGGATCTCTCAATATGTCCTCCCAACTTGATTGTGAACCACTGGTAAATTCTCTGTGTGTTATTCCCCCCACCAGTTGAGCACCAAGCTCCCATCAAGAACAGTACTGGTTCAATGCCTACGTCTAGCTATACACAAATGCTTTTATTTTGGGGGCTGTTTTGCGGAGAACGCTTTGTTCACACGTGGGTTGTGCCACACTAGGGTTTATACAATGTGACGGAGATACATGACAATGATTTAGCCAAAGAATACCAGGAGGGAAAAAACCAGCATTAGCTGAAAAAGATCCCGCACACGTTTTGCATTAAGGGTGCACTACCTGAGTATTGGAGAATTGGTGCGCTGTGTTACAAAGGACATAAGAAGCTATGGACATCAGACTGAATGTAGCATGCAAAAATAACAGAGGAACATGGGTTAAGTACAGATTGAACCTCTCTAGTTCGGCACCCTTGGGATCTGACTGGTGTCGAGCCAGATAATTTGCCAGACCACAGGAGGTCAATATTGTCTAGCAGCATTACCAACACGTCCACTGTTTCCTGGGCTCTGAGAAGACATTTAGGGCTAAATAACACAGAACACTAAGAGCCAGGACCAGTGGCTGTAAACAAACTTTATGAAACCACAGGAAACGTGGCCGCACCCATACGTGGACAACCGGCTAGCTACAATCATGCCGGACCATGGAAGTTTCTGGACCAGAGAGGTTCAACCTGCCTATTATACATTTACATGGACACTTTCCACTCAAGGGATCATTGTGCTTGACAAACTGCCAAATTCAACTGAAAGTCTGGTAGCCGGCGACCAGGTCTTGTTTTGAAAGGAAATGCAGGCCCAGGGAGCTGTTGAGTGCAAAACTGACTCTGGCATCTCTGATTCTTGCAGGCTTGCCCGCTGACCATGGGAGTGATCTGCATGTCGCCCAGCCAGCAAAATGAGTTTTCCCTTCCGCTTTGTGGAGCGAGGAGGCTGCCGAGTGAGACCCTTTGGGCTTGATCCTGTGTGGCGCGGAACCTGCCACCTGTTGCTACCAGTGGACGCGGAGGGCGCTTGGAGCCTGGCAGGACTGGTGAGCCCCGTACGGTGCTTCCAGGCGGGGGAACATGCCAAAGGATTGGCAGATACACACTGAAGTCATTGTCAGCTGCAGGTAGGTTAAAACCAGAGCAGGGCTGGGGCATTGGCTGGATTTTGTTGAAGGCGTCCAGCAAGAGACACCAGCCTGTGTCAATCCTGTAGAACTGGAAAGCAAGGAAACTAAGGCAGGAGTGTGGGTGGGAGGGGAGATTAAAAGGAGCCCTATCCTAGCCCTGGCTATATTGGGCCTGTCCCCTAGTGATACCCACTGGCTAAATCCTAACCGACGGCCGGACTGGGTCAGACCAAAGGTCCATCTAGCCCAGTATCCTCTCTGCCGACATTGGCCAATGCCAGGTGCCCCGGCGGGAGTGAACACACCAGATAATCATCGAGTGATCTGTCCTCCATTTCCAGACTCCGATGAACAGAGACTAGGGATACCATCCCTACCCATCCTGGCTAATAAGTACTGAGGGACCTAACCTCCATGAATGCATCTAGCTCTTTTTTGAACCCTGTTAAAGTCCTGGTCTCCACACCATCCTCTGGCAAGGAGTTCCACAGGTTGACTGTGCGCTGCATGAAGAAATGCTTCCTTTTGTTTGTTTTAAACCTGCTGCCTACTGATCAGTTGTGGCGTTGGACAGCTTAGAGAGGGCTACGGTGCAGGCGTCTCCTCAAACCTGGTACCATTTTTACTGCCTTCCTATCAGCACGGAACAGCTGAGGGGCACCCCCCAAACAAGCAGAGGGGGAGGGGAGTGGACAGAATCTTGCTGCAGCACCAGCCACAGTAGCAGACAGAACCTGCATCCCCCTCTGCTCTCCTATGGGGGACGTCAGGGTCCAGGAGGGAGCTGGGAAAGAGATGGCTCCAGATACCAGCTCCCGCCCTGCCTGGCTGGGGAGGGTCTGCTCACTCCTCCTTGCCCCTCATTGCTGCGGTGTTTGCGGGTCTCCCTCCCTGAGAGGGGGTATTCTAGACCCCCGGCCACTTTCTCCACCTCCCCAGCCATCCACCAGGGTCTGGTACTGTGCCCCGTTCATGTTAACTCAAACTGAAACGAGCCATCGCTGCACTAGTCACTTACACGCTCCCCAGCTGCCGCCGCGCAGAGACGCCCCCGAGGAGAACGGGGAACCAAAGAGCAACGCGTCTGGTGGCTCACTGGGTTTCGGACCCCAGGTGCCCAGCACAAGGCTAGGATCTAAGGGACAGTCCCCCCCTTCTGCCTTTGCTTCCTGGATCCTGCTGCCATGCACGGTGACTCTCCCAGGCTAGCTTTTTCATCCTGCCTGCTCCTCCTCCGCCTTTCTCACAGGGTTGGGCTTGCGGGTCAGTGTCGCTGACGTTGCCAGGGCTCTGGGCCCCGGTGTAAGTGGCGCTCCTAGGGGAAGCCCGTATTCCAGGCTGGAGCAGCAGCCGCCAAGTGTAGGCTGCCGGGCTCCTGCCCCAAGAGGCCCCCCACACGCAGGCCTTGCCCCTTT